CTAGACCTACTTTATTACATTGCAGCTGGCAGGACCAGTTTACTCAATTGGTTTAACCTTATTCCAAGAAGGCTGAGGGCACACAATCTGGTTTTATAGAATGTTAGTATATCCTGCTGGGCGCTGGATGCCCCAGTCTTCTCGTAAATCTATAGCGTGATCTTAAGGGAGGTGAGACACAAAGACATCACCACTTCAAGCACATATTTCACTGGCAGGGAACCATTACATAACCTTTTGGGTACAAAGGACAGCATATTCTATTATTTAGTTGATAGTGTCTAATGGCATGCTTATTACAGGTACTTGGGGGAAGGGCAGTACATTTTTTTTTAAGTCTCCCTCTGTCACCCAGGCTGGAGTGCAGTGGCATGATCTCAGCTTACTGCAACCTCTTCCTCCTGGGTTCAAGCGATTCTCCTGACTCAGCCTCCCATGTAGGTGGGTTTATACTTGTGCGCCACCATGCCAAGCTAATTCTTGTATTTTAGTAGAGATGGGAATTTTACCATGTTGACCATGTTAGCCAGGCTGGTCTTGAACTCCTGACCTCAAGTGATCTGCCTTCCCTGACCTCCCAAAGTGCTGGGATTATAGGTGTGAGCCACCATGCCCAGCCAAGGGGCAGTAAATTTAAAGGAAAATACCATCTAAATAATAACAATTGTGTGCATGTGACTTGTCCATTTGGAAGACATACAGAAAAGGAATAGAAGCAGAAAGAATATGATGAGTTAGGCAGTGAAATAATAAAGAACTTTGAACTGCTCCTTAATTAATTCTCTGTAGGGGAGACATTCTTTGGTTCACATACAAATAGAACAGGGAGAAAATCTGCAGCAAGTTATCTTTGCTGAGGAAGGACGGCAGTGATACAAGACTCTGTTACCCCAGCTAATTCCAGACAATAGAATGCTGCCAATGCTACAAAATTGAAAATAAACAAGATAAGAAATAAATCAGATAACTAACAGGACTCTTAGGGTTGATGTCGCCATTAGGATTTTGGAGTTGAAGTTTCAGTTCCCAAAGAGCTGGAGGTCTGGGAATGAAGAGAGAATGGTAAAGAATTATTTTTGACATTTAAGCATAAAAGTCAAATAATCTATACTCCAAGAATGTTAAGAAAAGAAAAAATAGTCAATCTATAGCACATTCATTGTGATGTATTCACAATGTATGTATGTGATGTATTCACAATGAATGTGCTATAGATTATTTGCATTTATTCAGTACTGACACATCACTGGGTACTCAGTGATGATGTCACTTCATCCTATTTTATGTGGTTCAGCTGACATGATTATCTTTTTATTTTTTATTTTTTGCTCTGAACTGCTACACGTAAATACCAAGTGCAATGGGTAAGCTTTTTTATTTAAGAAATGATTATAGTAGGTGTGGTGGCTCATGCCTGTAATTCCAGCACTTTGGGAGGCTGAGGTGGGCAGATTGCTTGAGTCCAGGAGTTTGAGGCCAACCTGGGCACCATGGTGAAACCCAGTCTTCAGTCTCTACAAAAAAAAACAACAAAAATTAGCTGGGCATGGTGGCATGCATCTGTAGTCCCAGATGGATCACTTGAACCCAGAAAGTCAAGGCTGCAGTGAGCTGAGATCATGCCACTGCACTCTTGCCTGGGCGACAGAGTGAGAAACCATCTCAAAAAAAAAAAAAAAAAAAAAAAAAAAAAAAAATTACATGTAGGTTTACCCCCTAATCAGAATTTGATCCATTTAGTGTTCCACCTAGTAACAGTGCTTTCTTGTGTCTTAGTTTCAGTTATTTCCCTAACTTTTCTACCCTTTGGTGTGTTTCTTGAACAAAGACCAACTTGTGATTTCTTGATGTCTTTTTTTAAAACCCAAGAAGTGAGGATTTATGTTTTCAAGCCAGATAATCCTGCCCTCCCAAATCTTCCCCACCAGGAGTAAGTCGTTAAGAGTTCACATTGCCTTAAAAAGAACTTGTGTGCAGGCTGCATATCTTCAAGGGACCAAAACTGTCACTAAAGACAGAACTTTGGGACAATCCTAGCGGACCAGTCTCACAGATACTGATTTGTAACTGCTTAAGATTTAAAAAGAAAAAAAAAAGGCAGCAGTGTTATAGTTTAGAAAGTAAGTGAATTTGTGGGCAGGTGGTATGACTTACTGTCAGTTACCTTCAGGGATTTTAAACAATTCCCCCTCCCGCGGCTCCCTTTCTACTGCAGCTCTCAGTTCTTCCAGCAGGTGTCCCTATAATCACAGAAAAAACATTCCACAGCATGGTATGTAACTTTATTTTTCTAGCATAATAATTTAAAGTATTTACACACGGCACACTCACTGTTTTACACAGATACGTATTCATATATCTATGAACCACATCTAAAGGTTTCTTTGCAAAGACTGGACACACTTGGGGAGGGGGTTTCCAAGCATAACAAAGAGGACAAAAAAAGTTTCGAGTCTTTTAAAGACAGCCATGTGGAGCATCTGTGAAAACCAGTGTTCTCCCCCATTTTAAGCTCCCCCAGGAGACCTCTGAACAGCTTCAGCCTATCCACGTGTTGGTATGACCTGAAACTCTTCTAGCTAAGGTTTCAAGAACCAACATGTGCAAGCAGTATTTTTCTCTAGAAATCTCAGAAAGTGAGAAAATAAACCTGGCCCTTTGATAGAGAAATACGTGTAATTCTGAAAGTAATCTGTGGGAACTGTTTCACAGGATCACTGATTATTAAGGGGAGAATAGCAAAATACACCATTACTAGTGATGCAGGGTGCTTTTAAGCATCACTTTCAGCTAAATGATACAGCAAAATAACCCAATCTTCTTTTCCCATCTATCAGTAAGGGTGGTTGTTATTTTCCCTGAAAAGGGCAAAGGTATATTTTATTAATCATTTACACTCTAAACCCAGATCCTACAGAAATTTCTTCTATTACTTTTACTTCACTTTCATACTATTTGCACAAAAATAGTGGTTAAACTATCCTCAGTATTTTTCCTCACTTGTACTACTCAATTATAAAACAGATTATTAATTAACAATAGCTTCTGAATATAGTTTATATCTCCATAGGTGAACAAAAAAGCCACAGTTCAGAGCTGATGGTAGTACAACTTCTATAAAAGGAAGGTGGGTTTAGGTTTCAACTCTTTGCAGTTGAATCTCCATGAGTAAGAAGCAGAGTGCCTTCCTTATTTTCCCAGACTGTCCCAGATTATTCTCTTATAAACACAAGGTAGAGGTTTGTCACCTCTACACGAATCCACAGCTCCACTCTGTTACTGGATGGCACATCTAAAACTTTACAAAATGACATCTTCTTTCTCCTGCCAGTCTGGGCCTCTGGCAGTGTCACTGATCAACAGGACACGGCAAAAGTAATTACCTGGAGAACTAAAACTAAGCATAATCTTGGCCTAAACTACTACGGTATTTAAAGTTCATACCTTTTATTTCCATTTATGTAAACTTATCAATAAATTATTAAAGTACAAACTGTACCACTTCTTCTCGGAACCAAAGATGTACATCTAGACATAACAATAGAAACCTACCTATCCTGGAGTTAACGTTCTCAGATGACTGCTCCTGCCTTTTACTGTTCTTTTCCTTTTGCAAGGGGGTGCCAACAATGGAAGAGGCAAGGAGAGATCTTTATAGGAATTTCTCCAAGTTACAATGAGCAGCTGACTAAATCATATTCAACTACAGGTGTTAAGAGGGAGAGTACCTTACTTCAGAGACCACCTGGGGAGCCCAATGCTTGGTTAACATAAATATCTGGATTAAGCAGTACCGAATTGGCCGCACACTGAGTCAGGCCAAGAAGGCTTTTCTGTCATTGCCGCCCCACCCCGTTCCACTTTGCATGCACACATCAAAGACTGCGATGAAGATCATGGTATGGACGACAAGGAAGAATAGAAAACTTTGTGATGGAATCTGGTCCTGTACATTAGAGAAGGAACCTAACAAACCCCAGTTCTTTAGATTCATAAGGTGAGGTTGAGGAGGGCTTCCTGGAGGTGGAGACAGAGCCGTTTCTGGGCTCAACAACCAAGAAAAGGTTAAGAACAGGGGCTTGCTCCAGTTATGATAAGAGCAAGGCATAATGACTACATTTATAGTTTCATGTTTTAACACAGAATTAGAGAAAAACTGCATTTAAAAAGGGACATGGGGGCCGGGCACGGTGGCTCATACCTGTAATCCCAGCACTTTGGGAGGTCGAGGTGGGCGGATCACGAGGTCAAGAGATCGAGACCATCCTGGCCAACATGGTGAAACCCCGTCTCTACTAAAAATACAAAAAAATTAGCCGGGCGTGGTGGTACACACCTGTGGTCCCAGCTACTCAGGAGGCTGAGGTGGAAGAATCGCTTGAACCCAGGAGGCAGAGGTTGCAGTGAGCCAAGATTGTGCCACTGCACCACTCCAGCCTGGTGACAGAGCAAGACTCCGTCTCAAAAAAAAAAAAAAAAAAAAAAAAAAAAAAAAAAAAAAAGCGGGGTGGGGAGGCATGGGATGAGAAAGTCTGGGAGTTACTGAGGTCTAGCAAGAGGCCTGGTACTTGTCTACGAAACTGCCATCACTAGACCCTTTTTACCTAAAAGAACAGCGGTTTCCATGGTTCAACCTAATACACCATATGGGCTCAAATATATAATTAGAATTGAGAGTAATCAGTATAGTAGTAATCTCCTCCTCCTGAAAAAGAAATAGCTGTTAGGAAGAGAGCTTCTTCAGATCAGGGTTTAAGAGTCAGAGCACCTGTAAGGGGGAGTTAATGATCCTTTCAGATGAAGTGAGGGCAGAAGGGTGAGAACATAGTTCAAAGGAACGAGGCAGCTCCACCGCAAGGTGGCGAGTAAAAGCTGCACGCGTGGCAAATCAGTAGCAACGGGAAAGGGTGGAGGGTACAGCCAAGAATAGCTACAAACAATGGGTCACCTTCAAAGGAAATGCTGCGTATGGGCATCTGTGTATATGTACTATACATATTAACCAAGTGCACACATAAATATTTAATATATAAAAAATAAAGTGCTTTCTAACAGGCCCCTAGGCAGGGACATTATAAAACATTTCACAAAACTGCAAAACGAAATTGATACAATCAAAGAACACTACATCCAACATATGTGAAAACAGCCAAACACAGTATGTACAATCTGGTGGGTGTCCCAGGACAAATGTCCTGTCATATACATGGTATATACATATATACTCTTTTACTCAATATATTATGACAATATATATTTTAAAATTTTGTTATAGACAAAAAATAAAAAAAAACCCAAAACAAAAGACAACCCCTACAAAAACACGATAAGGATCAAGCACGTGAGTCCCAGACTGACGGACAAATCGCTGCCTCCACGGGGAGTCCCATTGCCACTGCTGGGGAAAATGTGCCAGCGTTCCTTCCTGGGGTGTAGCGCCTCCACGTCCTCCAAGGCACTGTGGGCCGCAGCAGTAAAGTTGGCATCACCAGTTGTGAGCAGGTCGAAGACACAGGACTGGAAATAGATGTCCTTCACTGGCATCTTCTCATGGCATCGAGTGTTGGCCGTCTCCAGCGTGTAGCCAGGCCAGGCCTGCACCAAGGAGGTGCGAGGCAGGCTGTGTCCCAGGATGGCAGACACCTGGCCCTGCCCATCATCGATGCGTTCACTCACGGGGCAGCCGTTCATGCATAGCTGCAGGTCCTGGCTCTCCTCGTAGGACATGGCCAGGTCCTCAGGCATACGGATGGCAAGGGTCAGGTAGCGACCCACCTGCCGCACAAACACTGTGGTCCCTATATAGCGGGCGTGCATCTCCACATAGTGGCCGCTCTCCCTCTCCACGATCCGCAGACTCTTGGCATCGCCGTCCCCACCACTGGTGGTGCCATCCACAAAGGCGGCCGGCAGGTCATCTGTCACAGCTTGGTAGACTTTCTGATCTGTACACTCATGGTGGGCTTTGAAGATAATGGTGATCTGTGGGAAGGAACATGTACAAGGTTTAAGAGAATGGGAGGGAAGCAGAATGGGACAACCCTCTACAGCAAGAGCTCCCCTTCATTTTGAAGTTAAGGCAGGCACCTCAAAAATGATACCACTTTCAGAAAGTATTTTTTAAAGTCCCATATATTTAGAATTAAACTTTAACAGAAATCCAGGGAATGTGCATCAAGAAAAAACTGTTTTAATTTCCAGTGAGAGAGAGAGAGAGAGAGAGAGAGAGAGAGAGAGAGAGACAGACAGAAAGCGAGCGAGCAAGACAGCAGTGTTGCTATTGGAATACAGGCTTTTCTTTTTTAAAGTGACAGGGTCACACTCTCTTACCCAGGATCAAGTGCAGTGGCACATTCATAGCTCACTGCAACATTCAACTCCTGGGCTCAAAGGACTTTCTCACCTCAGCCTCCTGAGTACATAGGACTACGGGCATACACCACCATGCCCGGCTGATTTAAAAAACTCTGTAGTGACAAGGTTGGTGGCGGGGGAGCAACAAAAGGTGGGGGGTTCTGAGCTATGTTGCCCAGGCTGGCCTTGAACTCCTGGCCTCAAGCGATCCTCTCACTGTCATCTCCCAAAGTGCTGGGATTATAGGCATGAGCCACATGCCAGGCCAGATTATGGGCAATTTTTATTGATAATTTATATCTTGTCCCCTTCCAAAGTTGGTAAGTCATGGCACAGCTGAGAAAAGAAAAAGGTTCCTTTCTTTTTTAAAGATGGCATCTCACTCTGTCGCTCAGGCTGGAGTTCAGTGGTGTGATCTTGGCTCACTGCAACCTCCACCTCCTGGGTTCAAGCGATTCTCCTGCTTCAGCCTCCCCAGTAGCTGGGACTACGGGCACATGCCACCACACCCTGCTAACTTTTTTTTATCTTTAGTAGACATGGGGTTTCCCCAAGTTAGTCAGCATGGTCTCAATCTCCTGACCTCGTGATCCATCTGCTTCAGCCTCCGAAAGTGCTGGGGTTACAGGTGTGAGCTACTGTGCCCAGACAGAAAAAGGTTCCTTTCTAAGTTATTAAACAGAAACTTTAAGGGATTTAATTAACAATATACCTAACAGAACTTTTCTTTCTACAAAGATTCTTCATAGGACTGAAAAACCATATCCTATGACTCACCAATATAAACTTACTCATTAGAAATAAAAGAGTTGAGGAGGGGGCACCCCAGTAACAGCCACCACTTGTGTGCCCATGGAAAGATTTCTATTTGTCCCTTAATCAAATGTTTCACACCACTGGCTAATCCCTGTAACAGGGAAATCACCTGGCAAATGTAGCTCCTAAGCACTGGCAGAGCCTAAATACCCTAAACCTAGTTACAGCAAATGTTTTCCCAAACAGCACCACAGTCCCTTAACTCAGAAATCTTTTCCCAGCCAACTCTCGATTCTCCACACTGGGCACATAAATTCATCAAAGAAAAAAATAATAATACAAAAGCCTCTCTTTTGTAAACCCATGTTTTTTTTCCTGCAGAATCCTTTAATTAGAACAGTTATGTTAAAACCTTGCACACCTTCACCTCCAACATGTCCAACATCTCTGGGACAGGTGGTAGAGGGAAGACAGCTGAAGACAGGGGCTGTTGTGTCACACAAGATGGAGAAACCATTTCAAAGAAAAAAATAAGACTGTACTTTGAAGTTTGTATCATGGCTAGTAACTGAGGCAACAGAATTCATTCTTCCTTTTTGACAAAACAAAAAGTATCAGGTGACTTCAGTCAGGAGGAAGGAAAACAAGCCAAACACCCTATGAATTACTCTGGATGGAGGAAAACTTCTACCTCCTGCAAGGAAACTAATCAGAACAATAGACCCTTGTGAAAAGGCCAGAAAATGCCCCCCGCCCCAACCCTCAGGTTTATGTCTGAAGTTTTTCCCCAACTCAGCCAGCATTTGCTCACACTATTTAATTCCACATGTTCCCACTGGTGTTACTTGACTGGAATTTTCCAGCCATTTCATTTTACTTCAGCCAGTTATAAAGCCAGATCTGAACCAGCTGCACTGTAGCAACACTGGTTAAATTAATATCCGTTGTTTGCAGCTGCAACTAGAAGCCAGACAATGTACTATGAAAATGCTGGGTTTTCTCCCTTCCTAATTACCCTGAGCCACAACTTGATTTCACTACCAGCCGTCTCACATTTCAACACCTTCTTAACAACCCAAAGGAGGTGCATCAGACATGATTTCAGGAAATTTGTTGTGCATCCAACCATAGGACCTTTCAGAGTGAATGGGGGTTTTGAGTTAGATATCTAACGGAACCATAAAATAGATTTATTTGGTGGCTCTAAAATCAGTTGACAAGCGTTTTTTTCTTTAAGGCATGCTGGGGTCCCTTGGAGATGAAAAGATTGATTCAAGAAAATTTTGCACCTGAAAAAGTTGAAACTTAACAATACAGATGGTTAAGAGTTAGCAATAGACTTTATACCATCACTATGCTCATTTTCACCTGTAACATGCACTCAACGATTAAACTAACTCTTCAATAACAGCTAAGTAATTTGTCTTTCTAGTCTCACAAACCTAAAATTTAAGCCAATTTGGTATTATTTGCAAGAACTAACTGCTGTTTTGTTCACCTTAGTTTGAAAAACAAAGAGGATTTACTTGTGTTGGGCCAACAAAGCAAAGATACCCACCTCATTCCAAAAAGTTTTCAAAAAGCAAACCAGAATCCATATTGAGATGGGTGGACTAGTTCCATATGTCTTACTAAGGCTGTTTTTTTCATTAAGCGCATCAGTTCCAACTCAGGAACTCTAGGACTCATTTCAAATACCTCCCACATTATTGTCCTCTGCTATGCCAGTGACATTAACATAACTCCTACCTATCTAGAAGCTCAAAACAAAACCTGACTTCTGCTCTAGTATCTACACCTACAAAACATTCTAGTTAACCTAACAGATTTCTGTCTTTCCAATTTACTCGTAGTGATTTTCTCTGAGACAAGCGGGTATTTCTCTTGTTGCTTCCCTACTGAGCAAGGTAATTCTCACACAGAGCATATCTGTAGAATTATCCCTTGAATCAAAATGCTGAGGGTGAGGAACTGATTGCAAAGCATGAGTGGGTTTCCTGAGTAGTCCCCTGCAGTTTAAGTTTGCACTGAACAGGTACCTAGAGATATAATCAATGTAAATGTAGAAAACACCGTGTAATAGTTTCACATGACTTAAGTTTTATAATGCAATTTCATTCCTCATAACAGTTACAACATGAGCTTTTAAAAGGCAAGCACTCAGTCAATGAAGGGCAAGAAATTCATTTTCAGACCGTCTTTCTCTTCAGAAAAGCAAAATTTATTCATTTTTAATTCTTACTTTAGAAAAATGAACAATTTGAATTTTAAGAAAATACCAAACTTTTAATATTTCCAGCTAGCAGCCATTAGAACATAAGAAATGAATATTCAAAATTGTATTCAAAAGCTCACATATAGATAATTTTAAAATGCTAGCTATACTGCTTACTTTCCCCCTCTATGAACTAATCTGTATTCTGTCATAACTCAATTTGGCACATCTGTTCTATGCCACACCATTTATTATTGATAGATGGCACTTCTGTGCATTTAAAACATCAATGCCTTTTGTTAAACCTCCTCCACCCAGCCCCTCTCAACCCCCGCTTTAGACAAACTACTCCAGTTCTCTTCATTCATTTTTAATGTTTCACTCCCCAAGATCTTCACCACCCACAAGGTTTATTAGGAAGAGAAAGACAGCAGCTACAAATCAACCTTTCTACATGAAACAGGCAACACAAACTGAGGAAGGTTTGCTGTGAAATATTTTTAAGAGGCACTTGCCTCTCCTTTCCACCAGGAGAAAAAGAAAACATATTAAATGAAATGAGGTAGCCAACAGAGGGAAATACACAGGCACTGCCTCGCCAAGAGATACAGAGATAGCTATCCAAGGCACAGTAGTCTTGCAAAATGCTGCACACAGGTTTTAAAACAGCAGACTTCTCAAATGGCTGGGCACCTTAACCATTTGTGCATAATGCATTTTGGAAGAAACATTTATGTATTTAAGCAGGCCATTTGGCACTGTGAGTGCAGACCTTTTCTGGAATCCTCAATACGAGAACTGGACTTTTAGACAGAGAAACTCATCTCTGGGCTCTAGATTGGTCAGTCAACTAAACTGAGACAGTCACAGAAATTAGCTTGAAACACATGGAAACATAATTTTGATATGCACCTGGTTAAAATTCTGCTGTGTTAAAGAAGCCAATGAATTTTATTTCATGTAAGTAGCTGATGTGTCTACTTTGTCATATCCTCTGGGTGCAATGATAGGTGGAAAAGTAGCAGACTCTAAGGGAGAATAAGAACAGGGTGCTTATACCCCCTTTTACCTTACACATGGTAACAGCATGCAGCCCCTACAATCAGTCTTCCCCACTGAACAAAAAAGAAAGAACACATGCTTCAAAGGAGAAAAAAATATACATGCTCTCTCTCCATTCCTAAAAACACACAAATTTTTCTTCCAAGGGTTAATTTTTCTAAATGTTAAGAATTCAGAGCCTAGGATGCTCTGAAGCACCTAAAGAAAGTAGAAGCCTTCATCTGATTTTGTATAGGTGTGTACATACATAACATCGACATTATTATATTAAGTTTTTTTCTGTATTGGTACTTATTTTTAATCTATATAATTGGTCAAGGACTGTATGTTTTATATTACTACCCATTTATGTCTACTTCTTTCAGAGTTTTGCTTTATTGATGATATATTACTTGGTGCATAGATATTCAGGATAGCTAGTGTTCATTACAGAGTATATACTTCATCATTATCAAGTCCCATTCTTTGGCTGATTTAATAATTTTTATCTGGAAATTGCAACTTGTTTTTTAATTAAAATGACCTGAAATGTTTTTCTCTAATACAATTTTGAATTTGTTTCTAATTAATTTACTTCTCTTCATGGATGTGCATA